AAACGGTATATTAGTGTACATTTCAGTGAGAGTTGTAATTATATTATCGCCACGAATTGTAATCAATGTTTTATAACAGGAATATTCCAGTAAAACAAGAATCATAAATATAATTTATCTAATTGTACACGTTTTGATGAATTTACAATAAAGTACCTGTACACATTTAATAAATTTAACAGTTTTAATTATTTTCAATGATTTTATATCAATATTAGTTGAAATTTTAATTTTAGTTTAAACAACAATTTTACGAAATATAAAAGCTATTGTTTTGTATAATAAATTAATTTTATTAATGTGTAAATAATTTTTGATACCACATGTTCACTATAACGAGGGTTGGCTATATTATGTAAACAACAAACAATAATTAAATAATGTTTTTCAAATAATTGATGTAATTTATATTTTACGACTTTATTTATTATTGTCTTATAGTTTACGACATTAGAGACAACTTTTAGATATTACAAGATATGAGAAAAGTATATAAACTCAAAGCGAATGCATTAAAAAATACACCAGAATTTACATTCAAACAAATTCTCACGAAAAAAATAAAACTATAACTTAATTAAATATTTAAAACCATGTTTAAACTATCGCTGGCTATTGTATTGGTGATCGCCTATCAGTGCGAATGCGAGTTTGATTACAGCCAGTACTGGCCGGGAGGCAAAACAACCGGCGCTCCCATTGTGCTGGAGTGTGGGGTCGGACTCATACCAATCAACGGCGATAATAACGGCACACGCGATGCGGCGCCGGGAGAGGTGGCCTTCCAGGTGTCCCTCCAGAAGAAGGTCAGTGGAAAGTGGGCGCACGCATGCGGTGGTGTTGTGGCCACCAATGGCTTTGTCTTGACCACAGCCAGCTGTGTCGGCGGGTAAGTGTTTATATACCACGTTTAGTTAATAATTGATTAAACTGGCCATGATATTAATATATTGCCAGATCAAACACCGAGGCGTTCACGCGCTCAGAGGCCGGTAACGTGAACCTAACGAAAGGCGGGTGGACTCG